TTTAAAATTCAATCAAAAGCGAGATTTATAAAGATTTAAATATAAAGAGCACTTCGATAGTTAAGGTTTTAAATTATAATTAAAATTTTACAATTTACATCCAAAATTAAAAACCTAGATTAAGATTTAATTTTAAAATATGATCAGCAGAGCTACCTTTCTCATAGAGATCCAGAACGAAAAGGATGCAGGCTCGCGCAGCTCCTTATATAGTGTTCTAAATATAGCTCTCAGACTGAGCATGCGTATTGATACGCAGTACAACTGATCGATAGATTAAGACATGTGTCATTCATGTAAAATAAAAGAGTTTAATCTTGAATGATTAAACTTTGATACTATACGGTAGTAAATTTTAAACATGAATATTCTTTTTGTGAATTCAACACTTGTTTATTTTTGTATTTAAATATTTTCTAATATGAAATGTGAGCAGTAATAAATCTGTAGATCTATGTGTTTTCTACAATTAAGTGTCAATTTCCATTATTTCATCACTCTAACATTTCTGTGTTGTAGGTTGTAGACAAGATAAATATGTATAGGAATGTTTAGAATTGTGGGTTATCGCTCGGATGCAGCCGAGTCTCTTAGGGATTTGAACACGGCGCATGTTTACTGCGGAATGACACGATTTATTTTTTGCGAGTCGCTTATAAAAATCAAGAACCTAAAAATCACATACATCGGCTTTACACTTCATGAACAATTTTATAGTTCTTGTTTTTTTTTTTTGCAAACCATTTCTATTTACACAATTTTTTCTTATCTCAGTAAACAAAATTTAATTCAACTGTCTGTTGTTTACCTATACTTAATATCATGGAACCAGGCTAAAAGTTAACACGTTGTCTCAACTCATAAAGGGAACTGTTTATCTTTTTATGCGCTGTTAAATTGCATTGTATTAAAACATCTGATTGTTCCGTTTAATATCAGAAACTAGAAAACAAGTTCATTTTAAAAAACAAACAAAAAGAATGTATATATCTTTTAAATTTGTTTCTTTCCGAGATTATTTGGATAGTGTGGTGCGGACATAGTTCTGGCTTCCAAACTTTTATAGTCAGCTTTTAAATACTAAAGCGAGGTCAACACGTATGCATTTTTATGTTGGTTAGATTTGGTAACGGGTCTTATGCCTTTAATGATTTATGCTCAAATTTGATGTTTGTCGTTCAAAAGTTAATACATCGTTTATAAGGGCTTTCATTAATAATGTCCAAGGTATTATATGGTTAACCATTACGTGCGTGTCAGCACTATTTATAAATAAATGAGACACAGCTAGGTGTCTAAATCCTTGAATATACGTACCCGTCATGTCACATTACAAAAGAATAATATTAGTGCGGACGTAATGGAATTTTCGTTTCGTAAGGCTTCCCCTTTAGTTTCATTAACTGATTTCAGATCTTAACAGACAATCCTGTAAGTAACATTTTTTTCCGTTTCTTGTAAAGTTATGCAATGCATAGTTGACCAATCCTTCGCAGTCATTTCACGCGTGCATTTTTTTTGTTTATTTTGTGAATGTGTAGATTTAATTCCAATAAATTATGCTTTGGTTAAGGTAGTATACACCTTATGCATTACCTCCGCTTTGAATAGTATTCAAGTAGGCTAGAATTACTGTCTGAGGGGTGTGGGTTCAAACCCCAGAATGGGCAATTTTTTTCTCTCTTCTTTTCAACATTGTTTATGTATCTCTCAGATCCCTTACTAAAAGAAAAAAGTTAAATTAATTAATATATAATAATTGTAGGTATTTATTGGCAAAAAAATGCTAAATATAATAACAAATATGGTACCTGATATTTTCAAAGTGTAATAAAATCAAAGCTAGACGGTAAAAGTATTTAATATTTAAAAAGATGAAACAATATACTTTTTAGAAAATTTAGGGAAACTTTGAAAACAGGTACTCAGTTTGGTAAATTTTAGGCATACATGTATTTTTAATTAGGCCCTCTAAGTAGGAAAATGGCCAAACACGTGTTAAAATGGGTGGGATAGAGTAACATTTTCATACATATTTCATAAATTTTGAGTAGAAACAATCATTTTGCTTATGTGTATTGTTAGCTGAATGTTGTTATTTGTTTCTTACCAAAAATTAATGGGAAAGCATTTTTCATTAGGATGATTTTATAAATTATTTAGAGTTCCTCATTTCTGATAAAGAGCCCTTTTAATAGCAAAGGTTTAGATCAGAAAAAATGTCCATTATGCGATAGATTTTGTTTACATTTTGCATAGAGGTAATTTTAAGGCATATAAAGGCCCTACGTTGTCAATTTTATAGTTTCTTTTAGTGCCCATTAGGGATATTCTACCTTAACATTAAAATGTATTTTAAATGATCTTGGCCAGGAATTAATCTAAAACAGGAAGTCTAGTGAGATAATTTTGCGGACATGCTAGCCAAGGTGATAACTGATATTTAATCGTGCTATCCAGTACTATCTGATATGCATCAACCTATTTCTATAAATTATTATCAATAACTTACTTTTTTTATTATATTCTTTACTTCATAACATATACCATGGATATACGTGTCGATAATTGGAATTGTTCAAAGTTCAATGGGCATAACTCTGAAAATGATTGCTCCATCGTACACAATACACTGTCCTAGATATTCTTACAATAAATTTTTATACCAAATTTCATTTCAGAATGTACAATCTCTGCACAGAAAATCAACGAAAATATCAAATAACTAGAAATTTTCTAAATAAGGGGGCATAACTCGTTCATAAAAATGATAGGGCAATAACCAAAACTTTTCCTTGCAACGTCAAAATATCATACTCCTGGCAAAGAACTCGTATCTTTCTGGACAAAATAGTAATTGTGGGCTAATCAAAATGCAATAAATAGCTTAAAATATAATCAAGCTATATACATTGCTTTTAATTTTTTCATCGGATGTTTAAACAATTTATTGTTTAACTAGCACAGCACTGTTCGGGAAACCTCACATATTGCGAAAATAACATTATTTACAAACGAGCGTGTCGACCTCAACATGAGTCGTACTAGTCACAAAAAACCTGTGTAACATATACATATGTATAATGACGATTTGTTTTCTATGACCAGACCAACCCATAAAAGAATACATTCATGTTCGTTCCACACAAAATGGTGCGCTGTTTTAGGACTGCTAAAACAATCTGCTGACACGAATATTGCGGATTATATGTACCGCATAACACCGAATTTAAACACCTCATTTTTATTTAATTGAACGGATAATTACTGGCATGTTATCGCTTTTTTTCTTCTTTTTTGCATACTTTATAAATAGCTGTGGAATTATAGATCTACTTACAAATATGTTTTATTTGATAGAAGACCGATCACTTGCTGTTTTAGAAATTTTATATCATTCTTTGGTAGACTTTCGGAGAGCGAATCTATGTCATAAATACCAGTTATACAATTTCAATGGCCTAATAGCATTTGTGAATCTATATTAATTTTTTATTTTTTTTTGAATTTCTTATGCCTAAACCCCACATGGAGAGATCTCTGTTCGACTGACGTTCAAAAAAAAAACAACAACAACAAATTATGCGGTGTCCACTTCGTATTATTAACGAAGTTGTGTACATTCTGAAAAAGTATGCAGAAACGTTAAAATCATATCAAATAGACAAACAGGCTATTAAATTGATTTAACTTGTTCAAACGACAATAATTTAACTATATAATTATCTATATTGTATTTCTATCAGTTATATGAACTGAACGTACTAGAAAGGCGCTATATTTTGTAATCAAAGCAGTACTTTTACATTGTGCCCCAACTGTTTTCACTATCTTGACATACATTTTGCATGCCGTATAGAGTTATAAGCTTCCTTTTGAATGCCACATTCCATGGAATGGAAAAAACTGATGACTTAACTTTGTTTGGGGCCGTATGCATATCCTTGATATCCGTTTTGTAAGACAGAAAGATAATGTGGCTCGGTCAAAAGTAAAATATTTTGACGTTTGGATTTCTCCTTATTTCGAGCTATTTAAACTTAAAGTAAATACTGGCAACACTAAAGTTCTTATTGTTTCAAAAGGGAAATATGTAATGGATACAATACGAGTTTTTCTTCAAAAGTGTCTTCTTACAGACGTAAGAAGACACTTCGCTAGGATAAACAACAAATTGTCCGAGGCGAAGCCGAGGATAAATTGTTGTTTGTCCTAGCGAACTGTCTTCTTCACGTCTGTAAGAAGACACTTTTAAAGAATCAAAGCGCTGAAAGCGCTGAAAGCACTGCTGGGGGCGCATTATGTTGATTGTATAGTGGTCTATTGTTACAAGCAGATGCCATTCCTACTTTCAAAGCAGAAAACACATTTTTACTCGATTATTCGATAAGAATAAGTAGAATTATCCTAGTCATCTGAACGTCGGCGTCTATCACCTCAATTTTTCCCGAAGTCCATTGACATATGGCATTAAAACTTTGCACACTTGATCCAGATCAGGCACCCATATGTTAAAGATTGCCTATGGCTTCAAGATATTTTCGTATTCCATAGACATCTGGCTTTGAAATAAATTGAAATTTTATACATTTCTTTGCGAGCATACTAGCTAGGACTCTCTCCAATGCTTATATCTGTAGAATGGGTTTTAAAAAAAATTTTGGTCCTTTTGTGAACTTGAATATTTTAAATAACCAAGGTTCTTCTATTGTCAAGCACTAAGCATATAGTTGAGTGTGCTGTCCTACCAACAGCTATTGTTCGCATACCTTGTGAAATATAACTCCTTCAAACTTTTGTTCAGTTATTATTATACTAACACAAGAACTGTCTGAGGACAGTAAGGCTCGACTATTCGAAAAAAGTTGTCACAAGGGTGTTTATATTATACTAACACAAGAACTGTCCGAGGACAGTAAGGCTCGACTATTCGAAAACAAGAGCACCGCTAGGCGGAGCATTATATGCCCGAAAGTGTTTTTATTTTTTAGTAAAGATGAAGCATTTGTAAGACATGGGACTAAAATAAAGTATTACCTCCTTCAAATAACAATCCTCCTTTGAAGTTTCAATATTGTGGTCCAAATGGAACTTTAAGTTATGTCCCAGAAACTGTTTTCAATTCTAAGGTAAAAGTGACCTTGACCTTGTGACCCCAAAATCATTAGGGGTCTTTTACCCAATATGGACACTCATACTATGAAGTTTAAACACAGTAGGCCAAATGATACTTAAGTTATATTCCGAAAACTGTTTTCAGTTTTAAGGTAATAGTGACCTTGACCTTGTGACCCCAAAATCAATAGGGGTCTTCTACCCAATATAGACAATCATCCTATAAGGTTTGAATATTGTGGGCTAAATGGAACTAAAGTTATGCTCAAGAAACTGTTTTCAATTTCTAAGTAATAGTGACCTTGACCTTTGACCTTGTGATCCCAAAATCAATAGGGGTCTTCTACCCAATATGGACAATCATCCTATGAAGTTTGAACACTGTGGGCCAAATAGAACTTAAGTTATGCTCCGGAAACTGTTTTCAGTTCTAAGGTAATAGTGACCTTGACCTTTGACCTTGTGACCCAAAAATCAATAGGAGTCTTCTACCCAATATCGTCAATCATCCTATGAAGTTTGAACACTGTGTGCCAAATGGAACTTAAGTTATGCTCTGGAAACTGTTTTCAGTTTTAAGGTCATAGTGACCTTGACCTTTGACCTGTGACCCCAAAATCTAAAGGGGTCTTCTACCAAATATGGACAATCATCCTATGAAGTTTGAACACTGTAGGACAAATGGAACTTAAGTTATGCTCCGGAAACTGTTTTCAGTTTTAAGGTCATAGTGACCTTGACCTTTGACCTTATGACCCCAAAATCAATAGGGGTCTTCAACCCAATATGGACAATCATCCTATGAAGTTTGAGTATTGTGGGCCAAATGGAACTTAAGTTATGCTCCGGAAACCAAATTGCTAACGTTTTCAGTTTTAAGGTCATAGTGACCTTGACCTTTGACCTTATGACCCCAAAATCAATAGGGGTCTTCTACCCAATATGGACAATCATCCTATGAAGTTTGAATATTGTGGGCCAAATGGAACTTAAGTTATGCTCCGGAAACCAAATTGCTAACGGACGGACGGACGGACGGACAGACGGACGGACGGACGCCAGGGGGTATAACATAATATGTCCGAAATTCTTTCGGGCATATAAAAAGTTGTCACAAGGGTGTTAATTGAGTATAAAAATGCTTACCTATGAATACATAAAACTGACCGAAAAGGTACAAAGGCTTGGATTAAGATGTTTTATCAAGTAAATCACTGCTTTATTATCATGAATGCATAAAATTGTCCCAAAAAAGGCACAAACCCTTCAGTAGTTATGGAGATAACATGCTTACAAGCAAAACTTTACCATTAATTTCTAAGTTGAAAAAGAGGAGAAAAATCAGCCCAAATGCTAGATAAAATTATGGATCTTGGTCAGTAACCTACATGTACAATTATGACCCTAAATGCATGTGAAGTATTAATATTGTAGGCAGAGTTATTCAACTTGTCAATCTGATGTACATTGTTACTATAAATAACTATTGTAAGTTTCAATTGAATATCTCGAGCAATAATCGAGATATTTGACTTTATAATAAACTTTAACCAACGCAGACGCGGACGCTGGGTTACTACAATAGCTCTCATATTTTTCAAATAATCGAGCTAAAAACCACGAAGTCATGGTTGAGACCATATAGTTATTCCATATATAAATATATATGTATATATCATGGAAAACATTTCAAGATAATACAATGGATTGTAGTGTATAACACGAAAATCAGTGTACTTTAACTGTATTTATTCCAATAATCATACAAACATCTGTAAATAACTGGAACAACATATTTCTTAAATACAAGAGCGATCAGTAATCACATGTGTCGCCTCATGATGGACAATTTCATGTTGGGTCAAATTTTGTGACAGACGGACAGTGCACAACTAGACTTGGTACTGATCATTCCTGTAAAGTTTGGATAAAATTGCACCAGTAGTTAATGAGGAGTAGTCCGGACAAGCTTTTGCGTATCTGGCAACACACAGAAAAAACACCTTTTTATCAAGGGCCATAACTCGGCCAAAAATCATTCAACCAGAAAACCCGTGCAATATGCGCAAGGACTTGAGCTATAGATCAATCCTGTAAAGTTTCATTGAAATTGCATTAGTTGTATAAGAGAAGTAGTCCAGACAAACTTTAAAAATAAAAATTATTAAAGGGCCATAACTCTGACAAAAATCATTGAACCGGAAAATGCTGACAATATGCACAACTAGACTTGGTACTGATCATTCCTGTAAAGTTTGGATGAAATTGCACCAGTAGTTTATGAGGAGTAGTCCGGACAAGCTTTTGTGTATCTGGCAACACACAGAAAAAAACACCTTTTTAGCTCGACTTTTCTATGAAAAGGGGAGCTATCCTACTCGCCCCGGCGTCGGCGTCGGCGTCGGCGTCGGCGTTAGCGTCGGCGTTAGCGTCGGCGTTGGCGTCACACCTTGGTTAAGTTTTTCGTACCACCCCACTTTATTTCAGAAGTATTACAAGTATGGCTTTGAAACTTACCATACTTGTTCACCATCATAACCTCCATCTACAGACAAGAGTACATAACTCTGTCAAGGTTTTTGACAGAATTATGGCCCTTTTTTGACTTAGAAAGTGTATTGAGCTTGGTTAAGTTTTTTGTACCACCTCACTTTATTTCAAAACCATTGGAGGTATTGCTTTGAAACTGACCATACTTGTTTACCATCACGACCTTCATCAACAGACAAGAGGACATAACTCTGTCAAGGTTTTTGACAGAATTATGCCCCTTTTTGACTTAGAAAATACATTGAATATGGGTAAAATCCACTTATTGCCTTAACCCTTTGAGATATTGCTTTGAAACTTTTAATGCTATTTCACATCATTACCCCCATCTGTACGCAAGAGAAGGTAACTCTGTCAAGGATTTGTTTTAAAAATTAAGGCCTTTTATCGACTTAGAATCTTGGTTAAGTTTTTAGTACCAGTCCACTTTTTTGACTGAACTGTTTGAGATATTAATTTGAAAGTTGGAATACTTGTTTACAATCATGATTCCCAAACATGTCCAGGAGAAGGTAATTCTGTCAAAGATTTTATTTGAATTATGGCCCTTAACTGTCAATGTTTTGTATTATAGGCAAGCACTAAAAAACTTAAAAAATCTAAAAAAATTCATTCCTATCCACTTGTTCACTTTACCATAAATTATGTCATATAAACATTGCTGTAATATTCAAGGGTATCAAACAACTAGTTCACTTTAAAAATACAGAGATTCTTGTATTGCCTTTTACTGCAAAAACTTTTTTTATTGGCAAGCAATAAAAAAGTCGAGCGCGCTGTCTTACGGACAGCTCTTGTTATCAAAGGGCCATAACTCGGCCAAAAATCATTTAACACGAAAACCCGTGCAATATGCGCAAGGACTTGAGCTACAGATCAATCCTGTAAAGTATTATTGAAATTGCATTAGTGGTATAAGAGAAGTAGTCCAGACAAACTTTAAAATTAAAAATTATTAAAGGGCCATAACTCTGACAAAAATCATTGAACCGGAAAATGCTGACAATATGCACAACTAGACTTGGTACTGATCATTCCTGTAAAGTTTGGATGAAATTGCACCAGTAGTTTATGAGGAGTAGTCCGGACAAGTTTTGTGACGGACGGACGGACAGACAGACGACGGAGAAGTGATCCCTATATGTCGCCACTACTCCGTAGAGGCGACACAAAAACCATACAAAAAAAAACAAAAACTGATGATGACAGAACGGGGTATCACTTTATGCCTATATAATTTTTTTGCTCAAGTGATTTTTTTTCCGAAGAGCTACATGTGAAATTGCTGCCAAATATACATAGGTAAAAACTATTTCAAAGCTGCATGCATTCATATAAATATATTTTAAAAAATTCAAACTTGATTGAATAAAAAAAAAATTCAAGGATAGCCCAAACTTGTTAATTATAAAAAAATATATATACAGAATATTATGTTGTAGTAGCTCTCTGGGGCTTTGTATTTTGCTACGAGCAGCGGTGGGAAATTGATATCTTGCGAGACCAAAGGGCGAGCTAGATATCAATTTTCCAACATTGCAAGTAGAAAAATGCATAGCCTCAGAAAGCTACTACAACATAATTTTCCTTTTATAATATACCTTTTCGTTTGAAGTATAAATGATTTTCATTATACTACACTTATATTCATTATACTACACTTATATAAGAAATTTCAGAAAAAGAAATGTAGCTGTCAAGAAATAAATTATGACTGACAGATGAATACCTAATTTGTGCAAAACCAGCCACACCATTTTATTATTTTGGTTGCCGTTTCCATATACTACGTTATACACAGCTAAGATCAGAACCAACGTCAAAAATAGTCCAGTCAATTCATATATGGTACTGTATTTGTCTCATACATAATACGAATTTTCTAACCGTTGAAGCCTATTTGCGTTTCAAGATTATCCTGTGTTTTAGGAAGAAAATTTATAGGTATATAATAAATGCTGTCATTGACATTTCTTATGTTTATATTTATTTTATGTATTTCTTGCAATCCTATTTATAGCTACAAATTCTATGAATTAAAATAGAAAATGAAGATAGCATGCAGACGGTGTTGATATTGTGTGATAAAAATTTAAAGATCATTGGAAATCATCAGAGTAACCGAATACTCGATCTGAAAAATGACCGAGTACTCGAGTATTGATATTAGTATTTGTTGCCATCCCTAAAAAAATAAAGTACTTGACAAGATCAACTAACATCTAAATAAACAAGAGTGCCATGATGGCCCTGAAGTCGCTCACCTGTATATAGGCCCCCGGAGCGGGGCCAGATTAAACCCCAGGGCTTTTATTTGAACAAACTTGGTAGACACCCATTAGAAGATATTTCATGCTTAACATCTAAGGTCTACCTGGTCAAGTTTTTTTCTTTACACATATAGTTAAAAACAATGACACACCTGGGGCAGGGCCAGTTTTGACCCAAGGGCTTTTATTTGAACAATCTTTGTAGACACTTACTAGAAAAAGTTTCATGCTTAATATCTAAACTCTAGCTATTCGGGGTTTTTCAAAGAAGACTTTTAAGTTTTTGCTATACACATATAAGGAAAATCAATGTCAGCCCGGGCGGGGCCAATTTTGACCCCAGGGCTTTTATTTGAACAATCTTGGTAGACACTCATTAGAAGATGTTTCATGCTTAATATCTTAGCTCTAGCTCTTTGGGTTCTTTAAAAGAAGATTTTTTAAAGTTTTAATTATATGCATATAGGGAAAATCAATGACCCCCTGGGGCAGGGCCAATTTTGACCCCAGGGCTTTTATTTGAACAAACTTGGTAGACACCCATTAAAAGATGTTTCATGCTAAATATCTTAGCTCTAGCTCTTTGGGTTCTTTAAAAGAATTTTTTTTAAGCTTTTACTATATGCATATAAGTAAAAAAATGACCCCCTGGGGCGGGGCCAATTTTGACCCCATGACTTTTATTTGAACAAACTTGGTAGACACTGATTAGAAGATGTTTCATGCTAAATATCTAAGCTCTAGCTTTTTGAGTTTTTTAAAAGAAATTTTTTAAAGTTTTTACTATATGCATATAGGGAAAATCAATGACCCCCAGGGGCGGGGCCAATTTTGACCCCAGGTCTTTCATTTGAACAGTCTTGGTAGACATCCATTAGAACATGTTTCATGCCAAATATCTAAGCTCTAGCTCCTTGGGTTTTTTAGAAGAAGATTTTTAAAGTTTTTACTATATGCATATAGGGAAAATCAATGACCGCCTGGGGCCCCGTCAATTTTGACCCTAGGGCTTTTATTTGAACAATCTTGGTAGACACTCACTAGAAGATGTTTCATGCCAAATATCTAAGCTCTAGCTCTATGGGTTTTCTAGAAGAAGATGTTTAAAGTTTTTTCTTTTGGTTGCCATGGCAACCAGAGTTCTGCATGGAATGGAATTCTTTGAACAACTTTGTTAAGGCTTCACACAAGGAACATCCCTGTGAAGTTTCATTATGATCTGCCTTATGGTTTCAGAGGAGATGTCGTTTGAAAAGTGTGAACGGACAACGTACGACGGACGACGTACGACGGACGACGGACGAAGAGTGATCCTAATAGCTCACCCTGAGCATATGCTCAGGTGTGCTAAAAACTTTGAAAACAGAATTAATTATTTTGAAAAATTCACTCTGAGCTGTATTATTTAAAATGGGTGTTCAAACACATTGAAAACATTGATAAGTCATCTCATGTTCTTGGTGATGAAGTGGTGCCTCAATATAGTTATCACTGCAATCTATCTTCCCTCATAACTCCTACTATTACTGTATCTGTCAAACAAGCATCTCTGTTTTCTGAAATAGAGTTTTGAAAAAGTTTATTGCTGAACGAGATATTCCATACTTGTATGTTAACTTTTTTTCAGCATTTTTCTGTTAGAATTACTCTGATTTATAAAGGTATAAAACCAAACTAGAAATGTGACATCATGCCACGGATGCCCCCGCATGCAGCCAAAATTTCAGGTGCATTAATTATTTTTTTTTCATTTTAAGTTCAAAGCCCTTAAAACTTTTCAATGTTAACACAAACCATTTTCATACAATGTTCAAGGCACTGAAATGATTCAGTCTTAACCTTTTAAAATAGCATATTGCATATTTGTAGCCAAAATAATGGCTAAAAGTATGAGAGCTGAAAACTGAAAGTTCAAAATTTTTCCAAAATTCAGGAAAGATAAGTTTGTCTAAAATCATTGAACCTCGACCAAATTCAAACTTAAACTGCTTATTCCTAAGATGTATCTATATTATTTTCAAATTGAAAGGGACATAACTCTGCCAAAAAATCATCAAACCATGACCAAATTCCAACTTGACCTGCCCATTCCTTTGACATATCCATATGTAATTTAAGTTGAATACGTAACACTGTTGGGTAGATAATGAACAGAAACTGTCAATTTCATATTATTTTCAAAGTCAAAGGGGCATTACTCTGCCAAAAATCATTGAACCATGACCAAATTCGAACTTGGCCTGGGCATTCCAAAAACATAACCATATGTAAAATTTGAGTTGAATGTGTTGTACCATTGGGGAGATAATAAACAGAAACTGAGAATTTCATATTACTTTCAAAGTGAAAGGGGCATAACTCTGCCCAAAATCATTGCACCATGACCAAATTCAAACTTGACCTGTATTTTTTTCATGACATATCCATATGAATGTGTTGTACCTTAGGGGAGATAATGAACGGAAACTGAAAATTTCATATCATTTTCGAAGTAAAAGGGGCATAACTCTGCCAAATATCATTGAACTATGACCAAATTCGAACTTGACCTGTATTTTCTCATGACATATCCATATGTCAAGTTGAGTTGAATGTGTTGTACCATTGGGGAGATAATGAACGGAAACTGAAAATTTCATATTATTTTCAATGTAAAAGGGGCATAACTCTGCCAAAAATCATCGAACCATGACCAAATTCGAACTTGAACTGTATTTTTTCATGACATATCCATATGTCAAGTTTGAGTTGAATAAGTTGTACCATTGGGGAGATAAGGAACGGAAACTGAAATTTCATATTATTTTCAAAGTAAAAGGGGCATAACTCTGCCAAAAATCATCGAACCATGACCAAATTCAAACTTGACCTGTATTTTCTCATGACATATCCATATGTCAAATTTGAATTGAATGTGTGCAACCGTTCTTAAGATAATGAACGGAAACTGATGATGACGGAATGACAGAATGACGGAAGGATGGAATGACGGAACAGGGTAACACTATATGCCCCGGCCATTACATGGCGGGGGCATAAAAATGCGCGACCAATGCCAGAGCTCAACCCCTCTGTGCATTATTTCACAAACGAGCATCTGAGTAGAACCACCGCCTTTTTTTAAAGCTAGCTGGATTGCTTTCTCTCATTAAAGAATCCATATTAAATATAATAGAACATTGATAATTGTATATCTTTAAAGGTTAGTGGTTTAGGTACATTACTTTGACTATGGACACCCCAATTAAATCTATTTATTTGCTTAGTAACACAACTTTTCAAAGTCATATAAATTTGTAAATGTGAGTGATTCTGATAATCTATATACAGCTAAGTCAAGATGAGATGATTAGATTTTACTGACTGCTTACTACATGAAGTCACTATTTCAATGTCAAATACCTTGAGGTGAAAGGAATGAAAACTTGAATTTCAAAATACAATTTAAGTGAATTACATGTCACAAATGAGCCGTGTCATGACAAAACCAACATAATGGGTTTGCAACCAGCATGGATCCAGACCAGCTTGCGCATCCGCGCAGTCTGATCAGGATCCATGCTGTTTGCTTACAAACCCTATTACAAGTAGAGAAACTGATAGCGAACAGTATGGATCCTGATCAGACTGCGCGGATGCTCAGGCTGGTCTGGATCCATGCTGGTCGCAAACCCATTATGTTGGTTTTGTCATGACACGGCTAAAATGTTTTTGCTATCGACTTTTGTTCCTACATTAACAACAGATTGCATGATGAAATGATATTGAAATAATAAATATACATTTGGCTCTTAGTGCCAAGCTTACTGATTTTAAATAAGCCTTGAGTCCTGTGTTGGCCTTTAAACATGTCAAACATTTAGAAAGTATTTATTAAGGAAAAGTGTATACAAATAATCATGTACCTCTTCATTATATGCCCATGACATTGAAAAAACATTGTGTCATCTGTTTACTTCAAGGTTAGTCACATTGACAGTATCACATTTTAGACTTTATCTCTCTTGATGCATTCTCAAAATGGGTCCTCTTAATTTCACATTCATCAATCTGACAAAAACCTCCTGAAAAAGAAAAGTTAGAAACATATGCCACTAATTATGTCAGTTTAAATGTCAAATAAATACTTTGAGAAACTATTTGGTCAAAATTGTAAATGTACAAAGATTTTCAAACCATGAACATTTCCTTTTTAACTTTCTAACATATATAATGTATGGTCTTACTTGAAGAAAATGTTTGCCCGGAACTGAACACTACCAATTTACCATCTTTTTGGTACCACTGAAAATAGATAGTAAAGGCCTTAATCTTTTTATTCTAAAATAACAGTTAAATAACATCTTAAGAAATTATGACTAATAAGCATGTCAAAAAAGTGAGAAGAGGCAATTTTTTGAGTCATTCCAAACAGAACTTATGTAGAAATGACTGACCAATACAGTTAATTCATATGTACTATTGAGCAAATGTTATTTACACAATTTATGGAAATTGTAACTAAATATGAATTCAATATTCATCACTCCACTTAGTGTGAAATAATTTATTCAAAAGACTTGCATTCAAGTATGACATAAAATGTATAAAGGTTTATGGTCAGAATAGTAAGATTCTAGTGTACCAAATTTTTGCACTATATTCATAGGCAAGCGGCAATAAATATGATCAAGACAGCTGCCATAATCAGTAGTTACTGAATCAATGAGTTGAACTGAACTGAGTACTTCCTGTATAATTTTAGCAACTGGTTTGTTTTCAGTATAATCATAATTGAAATCTCCCATTAAAATAAGCTTTTTTAAAAATTCCAGTCACTTTAAACTCTTTTGAAACAATTTCCAAAATATTGAATAGAAACCCTGAAAAATTTGCAACAGTAGCACACCTTGGAGGACAATAAACAAATCCAATAACTATGTCTTGTAAACACAGTAAAGCACATTCAATGTCAGAATGAGTAAAACAAGTAAAATGACAGACATTAATATTTTCCTTGTAATAAATTGCTATCCCATGTGAGGCCTGACCCAAATTGGAAGACAATACACGAAAACCATCTATGCTGTACTGCTCAGATAAAGGACCAGTTAATCTAGTTTCTACTTGCTGGCGTAGTGAGCGCCCTACACGGAAACCTTTAGTTGGTTGGTGTGTGTGGGATACTGGTGTATATTCAGTTTTTTTTTTTGTTAAATGATGGTATTTTATAACACAAAAGTTCAGTGTTGATGTTATTTTATTTATCTTTTTATAGTTAATTGTAAGTTTTAAATACAAAATAATTATATAGTTTACATATATATTTTTTACAGCTAGTACCTGAATTTTGCTTAAGTTAGTTTTACTTCTTTATTTTTTAAGTTAAGACTTGATGTTATACGTTTAAAATTTTAGATAAGACTTAAGATGTTGTATGTTTCCAAATTAAAATTAGACTATTAGATGTTTTAAGTTTTGAAATTATTATTAAATGTTTTTATAATTAATTTTATAAAAGCATTTTGACGAGGAAATGCTATGTTACACATGACCTGTTTTTACCTTAATGGCCTGTATAATTATGTTTCACAGCTTCTCAGCAAACAACCAACTATGCCAAAATTGAAATCTAACAAACAAGCCTTTAATCACACACCTGAAATAAAACCTTTTCTTATATATACAATATTTCTTTTAATTTATTACAATCTTCAACGAAACATTAAGAAATATTGATAAAGTAAAATGTTCATTTTCATTTCCTGTATTTTCAATGTAAATATTCATTTTTCATTGCATATTTTCACAAGTGTCTCCTAAATTTAGCCTACACACAATAGACTGTAAAGAATAATAGGGCAATTTCTTTATAATTTCAAGTATTTATAGTCGAAACAGTCCTTTTTAAAGGCATATATAAGGCTAAGTTGAATGTTGCATGTCCAGATATGATTGACTAACAATTGTTAAAGTGAGTAATAATTGTCGGAATAGCTCAATCGGTAGAGAACATAGCTCAAGGTTACCAGATTTCAAAAAAGTTTTTATTAATTTTGTTCTGACATGTCAGGAACAACTTGATATTTAAATGTGTCTTTCATTTGATTGATTTTTTGTTACCTATCTTACATTTTCATTGAAGTATCTTTATCTTCTTAAAAATTATGCCCCAAATCTCATTTCTTTCTCTTTTTTTTAACCTTTTTTCATGAATTTATGAATATTTTTCAACAGATTTTGAAAGAATCAAAAAATACAACATTGTTAAGCATATATAACTGTTGTCAGGGAAATAAGTTATGTTTCATCAAAAATAAACTTGAATAGAAAATAGAACAGTTTCCACCTGTAGTTTGGAACCACTAACTGAATTCACTTTTATATCAATATTATGCAGTCTTAAAACTTACTTCACTACTAAGTCAAATGATTTATTATCTCATACAATGTAATTACATTTAGTATAAGTTTTATGGTAATAATGTGGTTAATCACTTGCAGTTAATCAAGGCTCGACAAATCGCACTTGTCCGCTCATAAATGATAAATACGAGTAAAAATGACTCCGGACAAGTTAATCTCCCAGAAATGCCGTCCTGCAGGACGTGTGAAATTTCTAGCATAAATAAATCAAATTTCTATTCAATTCTTTTGAAACCATTTTCAAGTTTCACTAGTAAAGACAGAGCACAAAATAATTCCTGTGTGTTTGATGGACAAAACTGATGTTGATTTGTTGAATGCAACGCTTAATTCTGTCTGATTCTATTTTGTAAAAACTTACTAAAAGCTCGTGCTGGCGATTCCATTATGTTCCACAAAATATTTTAAAATGTCACAATGCAATATTTGGCAAATGTTTGGCCAGAAAGGAGTAAGTGAAACAGTGTCTTCAAAAAAGAAAAATTGTCTTCAAAAAAAGAAAAATGAGTCAGAACATGTAGGAAATCTATATTTTTTAAGCATTGTTGTTGTTGTTTTTCCGTTTTTTCAATTCCTGATATATTATTTGTAGTATTTGTAACTATTATCTATTCTATTTGTAATAAGCCAGCATTTTACCCTTATAAAACTATTTATGTTCCCAATAAAAAAGACAGCAAATTTTCAAATGTTTTATTTTTAAAGTCCAAAATTACTGTCAAAATTCCCATCAAAAATTGGCATATATAAAATGGATGATTTCATATTGATAAGTGATATGTGATAAAAACCAAGTATAACTACATCTGACAGAGCAATATTTGTACCTTAAGTTCATTTTATACTTCTGAACATTATTTATGTACATGTACTCATTTTTTCAATCCAATAGGAAAATAAATATATTATGCCAATGGTCAGGGTTCTTTCAAATTTGAAAGACCCTGGCATGGTTTAAACTTTAAATGTGTATGAATATTAATGCATAATTCTCATGTCTTCCTGGATAAAATTCAAAATTAACCATGTGGCATGAATACCTGTCAGTTATGTAGTATCAATTTGAGTCAAAACGCATTTTCAAAAAAAAAATGTACTGGTAGCGTTTAGATGTTATCCGGAACTAAGCAAATGTCAGGGTTTTTTCGATGCTAATCCCCTAGTGTATATCTAGCTTTAAAATTAACAAGATATGTTTGTAAAACATGTATGCCCCCGATCAGCAGCCAATAAGTTATGTGATAAGGTTATTATGCATGACTTCTGACCCAGTGATCAAACAAGGGTTATCAAGTATCTACTGGTCATGACCTTAACCTTTCACCCCTTAAGCCAAAACTCAATAGGGGTCATCTGCTGGTCACGACCAATCACCATACCAAGTTGAAGTTCCTACGCCTAAGGGTTCTTTCGTTATTGATCGGAAACCGTTTTTACCTAAGAGGTCAATGTGACCTTGACCTTTGACCCCTTGACCCCAAAATCAATAGGGGTCATCTATTGATCATGACCAATCACCATATCAAGTTTGAAGTTCCTACGCCTAAGGGTTCTTTCGTTATTGATCGGAAACCGTTTTTACCTAAGAGGTCCAATGTGACCTTGACCTTTTGACCCCTTGACCCCAAAATCAATAGGGGTCATCTACTGATCATGATGACCAATCACCATATCAAGTTTGAAGTCCCTAGGCCTAAGGGTTCTTTCGTTATTGATCGGAAACTGTTTTTACCTACAAGGTCAATGTGACCTTGACCTTTGACCCTTAACCCAAAATCAATAGGGGTCATCTGCTGGTCATGACCAATCACCATACCAAGTTTGAAGTTCCTAGGCCTTAAAGTTCTTTAGTTATTGATCGGAAACTGTTTTTGCTTACAAGGTCAATGTGACCTTGACCTTTGACCCCTTGACCCAAAATCAATAAAGTTCATCTACTGGTCATGACCAATCACCATACCAAGTTTGAAGTTCCTAGGCCTAAGGGTTCTTTAGTTATCACTCGGAAACCATTTGGTCTACGGACCGACGGACCGACAAGTGCAAAGCAATATACCCCCTTTTCTTCGAAATGGGGGCATAATTAATTGCATGGAAAAATGCTCTAAAAGTGTCCGGTTGATGGCCCCGATCCCACGGTGCATATCCATATCGGTACCCTCTTTGGGAAATCGACTGAAACGGTACCCTATTTGCACATGCACAGGTCATTCTCTGCTTAAAACAAACCAGCGATGGATAACAATCCAGTAAAATTTCATTGTAATAAGGAAAAGAGGTATGACACTTAGAAAACATATAAACCATGGAACACTAGAATGTTTTATTTAAGTGCTGATATGCCATGTGTCCGTCTTTCATGTACTGCAACTTCAACATAAGCTACAAAAAATGACATGTCTTGCCTCTTCCATTACCTCGACATACTTTTTTGGCTGCAATGAGGTGATGGACAAGGCAAGACATGTCGATTTTTTGTAGCTTAATTATGAAGTTTTTGCAGTACATGAAAAACGGGCAAATTCACTTTATTATAAAACATCGTATCAAGAAAAATTTATAAAAAAAAAATTACTTTGTAAAATATAGGTCATATCCGGTTTTTAAAGTCATATCCGCGGATATGACTCATATCCGGTATTAAGACATACCGCACGATTTGACGACGATTTCGCCACTGATAAATGCAAAACAAGCAAAGTTATTCAACAGTTAGGTAAAAGGGAGATAAGGTTTTTGTAATATAAAACTTACAACTCGTTTTAACACGTGGAACTTCTATATTAACAGCAAATCTTCTCAATCTTTCACGGATGAACTTGTAAACAATGGCGATTGCTAGGGCGAAAATAGTTCGTATTCATACGCATGCAATGTTTTTCTTAAATTTACACTTATAAATAAATGAAGCATTAGGCCCTATAAGCTTTAAAGTTAGCTGATCCGAAATCCGTATTCCATTACTTGCTAAATTTTTGAGTTCTATGACACTTAGTTAACTTTTGACAACATGTAATTTGTACTATATTTATGCAAGTACTTTGGCTATGACTGACCGCTGGCGTAGTAATATTAAAATCGCGTAAAGCAAAAATATACATACAATTTTAAAAGACGATTGCAAAATTTAGTACATAATTGGCCAGTCAATTTTAAAATAGATGGAGAACTATGATTTTGGGAGTTACTGCGAAGTTTTGGAACTATTTTGCTTAGCTTAGGTAGGTGACTAATTGTGTTCAAACCATAGTAAATCTGAATTTGTCGTTATTCCATTGGGGGCGCATGCGCAATGCGCCCCCAAAAAAACGAGTAACTGTATCCGACTTATACGGCGTTTAAGTGTAAAGAACAGATAAATTAATAAACTCATTTAATTTTAAATAGATCTAATTGAAATTAAATGTATGTTCACGTTGAAAATATAAAACTATAGAAACTATTTGCATGGCCTTTTAGCTTTTGTAAGCAAATTGTATTCGCACGGAATTTTCGTGCACTTATTTCAATCGGACAGAATTCACTTTCATTCATAATAAACACTGTTAAAATGGCTGCCTTTATCAGAGAGATTTTTTATGTCATTCAACATTGAAACCATCTCCGAACATGTTTTGCGTCAATGATATATGGATAACGTTTTGGACCCCAAATTTGGTAAGTTTCCCTTTTCACATGCTTAGCTTAACGCAATAATCAGCTGTATATGGCCGATGATTTATGTGTGTGTGTGGGGGGGGGGGACAGTAAATGTTTCGTCAATGCTAAAATCAACAGTTACAATACTCCTGGAAATGGCCATCCAATTTATTTGATTCATTTCTCGATGAACTGAATTTACCAATGAGTTGCGCTATCTGGGTCGCTACAATTTTCCGTCAGTTTCTATAGTGTCCTGTTTGAGGCAGTTAAAATATCGCCTGTTACGATTTAAAATTGACTAAATCTCTTGTTTTAGCTCGACTACTCACAAAATAGGGAGAGCTATTGTAATTGTGAATTTTGACAGAACTACGGCAATTTTTGAAGATAAAAATTCTACATTATTCAGGCTTTTGTTTTACTATCAAGCACTGAGACTAGTCAAACGCACTGGCTATTGTTAATGGATAAGTTAGGGAAATTAAACATTCTCGTTAATATTAACACTGGTAATAAGTTACAGTTCATGAAAATTAAGGTTAAAACTGCTTGCTTCAAGATGAGTCAAAATATTTCAATAAAATCAAACATCAGAAATGTGTACTATGATTTAAGGAAAAGTAAAATGATGCAAGTTTTAAGTAATACATGTTTTACAAGTTATATGCGGTTAAGGACTGATTTTTCAGTATTCACAACTATATTTCTATTGCGTTACTAACGCAGTAAGGCATATTTATGCATATTTTGACCACTGTTTGGTACTTTACGTGGGCTGTAAGTGCCATTGATAATGTGTAAATCGCTTCCTTTATATTAAACATTCAAATACATTTTCAAAATTTTCATGAAAATTAGCATGAATCTGGAGGCGTGCTGCTTTAATCATCGCGAAGATTTTTACATTTTGATTCGCACCAGGATTTAAGTATGAGAAAGTATAAGCATGAGACAAATTCAACGTTGTATAGCGCGAAAAATTTCTTGCGAGAATGTAAAATATTGCCACTTTTTCTATGAAAATACAGAAAGAGGGGTAAGACTTTAGAAAAAAAAATAGCATGTCAATAGGAGACCTTCAACTGGCCGAAGCAGGACACCATATATTTCAACTGTATTAAATCCACATGGAAAGTAACGGTTATTTAAAAGTTTATTTAAAGTTTAATTTTAATGCAAAGTTCATTAAAACTAATAGATATATTTGTGACCAAGCTAGAAAAGCTATATTTGCTGTACTTAAAACATCCAGGACTCTTTGTCTTGATATAGATTTAAATTGCAACTTTTTGAGTCCATTGTCACTACTATTGTGTTATATGGTAAAGAAATGTAGAGTGTAGGTAACATTTATATTGTAAAACAGATTCATTTGAAATATCTTAAACTCATAAGTAATGTTAAAACCTGCACTCCTAGTGTTGTGGTGTTTGGGGAGCTTGGTATTCTACAAATTGAGTGTGTCATGAAATGTAGAGGCCTAAATTTTTGGACAAAATCATGAATTCAAAACTTGATAAAGTATGTAATATTATGTACAAACTAATATTTGAATTGAATTGTCAAAATGTATATCACTCCCCATGGATAGCTTATGTTAAAAAATCATTGCAACAGCTTGGTTTTGGTGAATACTGGATAATCTGCGTCGTCACCTTATTTTAAAAATATCGTCAAAAGTAGAATCAAAGACAAATGTGTTGGGGTGGCATGGACATGTGTTAAACTCTAGTAAGTTTATCACTTACAGAGCTCTTTTTAGTCTTCGTTTGGGTTAGTTCCCTATACTAAACTTTTACCAAGAAATCTAGCCTTGGCGCTGTGTTGATTTACATGTAGCAAACCTAAACTCCCTATTGAAAAAGGTTACATAAATGTGGATCATAATTTAAGATATTGCAATCTCTGTCCCAATAATTCATCATAAGGCGATGAGTTTTATTATATTTTTCAGTGTGCTCATTTTAACATTTATCGTAAAAAGTACTTACCTTCTAATTTACGAAGAGGCAACATGTTTAATTGACAGCAATTATTTGAAAGTACATATAGAACGGTATTAGTCAACCTGTCTGTTTTAACACATAAGATCTATTGTGAAATAATTTTTACCACCTTGTGAGTCTCTATTGTCAAGCATTGCCTTGATTTCATTATTATTATTTTTTATTATTCAATTTTTATTATGTTCATCTTTATGGTCTAATGGTATTTGAAATCCCATTACAAAACTTCCTATAATGTCAATGAGACGAGTTATAAGGGCATGGTGTGGTTACAATATGAGTTGTCATGGGCCCCAAGTTGTGATCATGCTATGGCAGCTCGGCATGTCATTTGTGTTTTTGTTATTTTTGTATTTAGCATGCTAATTAGTATGTCCACACATGTTGATGCTCGTTTGCTTTTGAAATGTGCTACTTATAATATTGATACTAATATGTGAAAAAGATGCTTGGTTGTTGAGCCATCATCGGATACGACCCTGATAAAATTGGTCATGAGTAAACGATGTACTGTTTGAATTTTTTAGATGCCGTATAGTTTGCAAGGTATAACTTTACACAAATATATGTTGTCGATATTTTTCATTACCTTTGCCCCAGTGTAGATAAATCTTCCATATCTGCAGGATTTGATACATTCTGTTACGTTCATATTCCTTTCCGTCTCTTTATATGGTATATAATTGATAGATTCTCCAAATTTATCTCTGTAACATCCGATAAATCCGGGTAGGTCTGAAAATGCTGAAATAGAAATATGAAATATTAACATGGTTGATTTATTCCCTTTACTTTACTCCCGGTAAAGCTTTTTTCAGGCATCTTCAACTAAATATTTATTGATCAATACAACAGTGAATGATCTATTATCAGTACCATACAGCATAGAAATCGTTTGCATAACAAACTGATTTCAAAACTTATGTTAAATTTTATATCACGAATTCAACTACATCTAATCCCTATTTCCACCTAACGAATTCGAAAAATAAACGTTAATTCGTTAAAGATAAAATAAGATAAGATAAAAGATTGATATGATCGTCAATTCACGTATATAAGATTCTAAAACGTGTTTTCTGGGATCTGGAATCATTCAAGAAGTTCAAATTGTGGAAACGTGAATTTGTTACGTTAAAATCATAAATTTAACAAATTAAAAATCACTAAGTTTAAATGGCAGAAGTTATCGTGATTTCACGGAAACCAATTTATGATAAAGGAAGATTCGTAAAATTCTTTTTTGCTTTTTGGTTTGTTTCTTGGTTGATTGGCTATTAGCAACAAATGGTTGCATGAAGCATAAGTGGTCTTCACTAAAGAAATCTTTAAAAGTTTTGCAATATACTTCGTAGCAGATATGGGCCTTCTTATGTTTTTCAATGTTAATTATCTGGGAATATTGTATGCTCTTGAAGTAATTTTCACATGAACTTTTTCCATTATCACTCTTCTTCAGGTGCGTTTGAAAGCAAGTGTCGTTTTTAAAGTACCTGGTACATTTGTTGCACAACTGCCACATGTATTCTTCCTCTGAATGTGAGTGATTATAACAGACGCATGGATTTTTGCACACATATCGCTCTTTGTTTGAATAGCTCTTTTTACATGTTACGCAGAAATAGCTCTTGGTAATCACATCAAAATGTTCGTCGTTGTAGTAGAGGTAAATGGGTTTACTACCTTTCACGCCATCGTAAATGATATCGTTAAAATGATGTGTATTTGGTAGTTGGGGAGAACAGCTTAGAATTTCACGACTTCCTCTAGCCCACATGTATACAGCGATAAACCTGCTTCTTGGTGTAGTTGTCTTTGGTAGACCATATCTACGCCTGGTGGTTTGCGCAGTTACTTTCGCTCTAGCACAGCATAACTCACCATTGTTGTTTATCTCTAACACACTACCTTTGGATTGCAATAATCTTAATATGTCTACATATGGTTTCCGTTTGTTGTATAATGTCTTTGCGAAACGCTTCGTCCACGACAAACTGTTTGTAGGACTGCAGTGCATGTTCTATTGCAGATAATATTGTCCCAACCGTTAGTTCTCGCCGCGGCAGAAATTCCAGTGTGAGGAAAGTCTCATTCTGAACTGTCAATAGACAAGTGTATCAAATCAGTGTCAGGTATCATGTATGTAATACGATCAATGATCAATGACTTGAAAATCTTTTTCTACGTTTTAAGAAAATTGAGTAGCATGATCTTGTAGTTAGTAGCGATACTTCTTAATTTTTCAATCTTATTTTCAACTAATCTATCAATGACGCAGCATTTTTTGCAGCTTAGCAGCTCCACTGCCTTCCTTGTTATTCAGATTACGTTTTGCCCTAGGTCATCTATATGTTCTTTATGTATGTGTTCATCTATGGCATTTTTTCTCGTGAACAGCTTTAAATATTTGGGACAATGCTGGTTGTTTTCGTTGTAATGTTTCTGCACATGTCTCTCTAACTTCTGTTTTCTTGGAAACGATTGCAAGAAGAATTCAAGGATTGTATTAATCTCGCTTTTATATAACAATGAAAATAAATTCCTTATATGCAAACGAGGAAAAGGCATTTGATTGGTTGAAATAACAGAGCCTATATATAAAAGTAATAAACAACATCACATCATGTGTAAGCTTTTCGCCAGAGAGTGAACATATTTACTACACAATGTCCTTTCTGTAACCAAGAGTTTAGTAGACATAAAATGTTACGACACATTAAACATAAACATAATGTGCTTGTTCTTGTGTAGTTTTTTTCACTGATTTTTTATTCTTATTTGATTTATTGTAAACCTAGGTGAAAAGTAAAAGTTTCAACAGATTTTTCCTTACAATTTGTATTGAATTTAAAAACATTTTTCTAAAATGAAAACAAATTTTATTCATTTTTTTAGATACACATTCGTTCATCCGTTTATGTTTCAAATTGTGGAAAGACAACAATGGTTAAACATTCATTGCGGAATCACAGTTTTAAAATTCAGCCTCGTGTTCAAAGGATTGTGTAGCTCTATAAACGATGGCAACCGTTATAAACATTGATACAAAGTTCTGTATTACCTTGGGTAGAGTTTTAAAGGATATTACCACTGGCATGGAAGAAGATGATTACTTTAATACAAAAATGAACATTTTACTGATTTTGGATGATTTGTTCTCTGAATCTGGCAAAGATAAATGTATTGCAGACTTGTTTACCGAAGGATCGCATCATAGATCTTTATCCGTGATTTCTATTTATCAGAGTTTGTTTGGTACAAAGGATCCTAAACAGAGAAGGAATTGTCATTATATGGTAGTGTTAAATATCCCTGTGTTGACAGTCAGTTATGAAACTGGCTCGGCAAATGTATCCCGGACAAAAATATTTACTTTTCAACCTGCCAATGCTGGCGAATTTAAAGCCGTTTACAGTAGTAAATCACAGAATAAAATGAATTAGGCAAAATTATGAAAATTTCAGAAAACATCGGTCACGTGACCCTGCAAGAACGTTTTTTCCAGTTGTGCATCATTCCGCAGTTGGAGTTCAAACAATTCACATTGAGGCTATCTTGAAGCCAGAAGAATAAAAAAAAATAGTTCCGACAATAAATCGGAAAAAAATAATGGATAATAAATGACATACATGACTGTACTTGTGACTATTGTTGTCATTATCTGACACTGATTTCGACCTGCAAAGGCATGTTAAATGGGCTGGTGCCACAGGGATCAAAAGAAACGAAAACATGAAGAAATAAGCGATTGCAAGCAGGAAGATATTTCTTTAGAAGACAATGGGACTTATGTGCAGTTATGGAAACGATCCAGCAAATCAAATGATGAAAAATTCGACAGATTGTACAACAAAAGTATCGATGAAGGAGAATAATGTGATGAAGTTCAAGACTTTGCAGAGGGGCGCATTAGGCTTCCAACGAAAATGCGATTTTAACAATAATTAACCGCTGATTGACGATTTTGTATTGCCACTTAGGAACAATGAAGTGCATATTGTGGCTCAGATTGATAAATATATTTCAAAAAGGTTATAACAAAACTTCAACTCAGCCGTAAATAAAGTATTGAAAAATACCAAAAGACTACGATTGAAGATTTATTTGAAACTGAATGACGTGAGGATGAAGAGGGGGAAACTGATGAGGAAGAAAGGGAAGAGAAAAATGCAAGTGAATAAAGAACTTTACCCCATGACTAAACTCCATTTCTACTTTTGACACTCCGTCAGCTCCGTGGAAGGAATATTCAAAGACAATATAATTTGATTCTAAACATTTTGCGGGCTTTGCTGGATCACAAAAAACTGTATAACGTGGTAAAATTTGAGAAAATTCAATATTGGTATGCAAAAAAAAAATTCGATCAAGACAAAAATATTCTACATAATCCAGTGAGAAGACGGTTACAAAGAAATCATGTGATAAGCGCCGGTAAAGACGATTAATGCATGGCTGATTTAATTGAAATGAGAAAATTCGCCGACTGGAGCAAGGGCTACTAATAGACCCTCCTGACCATACAGATGCATTCTCGAAGTATGGTCGAAGTCATTGAAATATAAAATTGCCAAAGGGGCTAAAGCTTTCAAAACAATATTCGACACATCAAACCGATCACCTGCTAAGCTGATTACTGATAAAGGTATGCTGATTTAATTCCTTTAAATAAGTTTTCAAGTACAGTCTAGTATTTCTTATAACTTTTTAGCCACCTAAGCTTGCTCAGGGTGAGATGAAGGATCGTTAAATGTCCGTCGTCCGTCGTCTGTCGTCCGTCCACATTTGCTCGTTAACACATTTTCTGTCTCATTTTTGCCTCAATCATCATCAAACTTTATCAGGATGCTTGTCTAGGTAATTGTTCAGATGAGCTCGAACATGGGTAATCTCGGCTGAAAAACAAGGTTACAGGAGCTTAAAATAGAAAAATCTTGTTAACACTCTAGTGGCTACTGTTTTTATTCAAATATCCTGGAAATTGGCTTGAAAGTTTGTTTCGATGATTTCTAGGACAAGTGTGAATATGGATCACCTTTGGTTAAAATCTAGGTCATAACACCCAAATATAGAAACACCTTGTTAACACTCTAGTGGTCTTATTTTTACTCAATTGTCATCAAACTTAGTCAGAAGGCTTGCCTAAGTAATTGCTCGGATGAGTCCGAACAAGGGTTATCTCGGATGAAAAACTAGGTCACAGGAGCTAAAAATAAAAAGTTCTTCCTAACACTCTAATGGCTACTGTTTTGATCGAAAGTTTGTTTTGATGATTTCTAGGTCAAGTTCGAACATGGATCAAGTGGGGTCAAAACTAGGTAACACTGTTCAAATATGGAAAAAAAGCCTTTCTAACACTCTAGAGGTCATATTTTTGACTAAACTGTCAACTTGGTCAGGATGCTTGTCTACGTTATTGCCCAGATGAGTTCGGTGGTATTAGTGAGCGATCTAGGGCCATCTTGTCCCTCTTGTTTCTATAATTACTTAAAATTTCGGTCTTTCTGTCAAATTATATTCTACACAGACAATTATATTTTAAGGCCAAGAGTTTAACGCCAGAGAAGTCAAATCTCCGTGATAAAGGAGGAAGTCAATTACTTTACGACAAAAAATGATACAAAGGCGTCAATATCAGAAAGGACCTTTTTGAAATATAAACACCCGAGTCATGTGTCACTTTTTGTTCAAGGACACGAGCACTTTTTAACGGTTTTAAGAGCTCACTGACAATGATAACCACACGTATCATAGAACTATCGGAATGAGACCCGTCGATGTCAATAACAAAATTCGTGGGGAAATGACATTGAAAAAATTTCTAAACATGGAAAGGCGGACATTAAACTCAAACCGTTTCAATTTAAAATTACCGACTACATTCGAATCAGTCATCATACATGTGTTTACTCGAGCGTATGACCAAACGTACACAACAGCTACAACCTACGAAAGACCGGTAGGGCCAAATCAACTTCATGAATTCCCGATTTCATCTTCACGAATTCACAATTTAAACTTCGTGAATTCCCGTTTTCAACATATGGAATTCACGATTTCAACTTCACGAATTCACGATTTCAACTTCATGAATTCACGATTTCAACTTCGATTTCAACTTCATGAATTCACGATTTAAACTTCACTAATTCATGAGTTCATCTTCATGAATTCGCGATTTCAACTTCATGAATTCACGATTTCAACTTCATGAATTCACAAGTTCAATTTCACAAATTCGTGATTTCATCTTCAAGGATTCACGATTTCAGGTTCATTAATTCAACTTTGGAAATTGAAGATTTCAATTTCACGAATTCACGATTTCGTCTTCGTTAATTCACGACTTCAACTACATGAATTCACGATTTCCACTTCATGATATCTGTGTCAAAATTTGTTAAAAATAAGTTAAAATTGTTGACCTTTTCAATACAAACAGTTATTCGTTGTTAAAGCTGAATCGTTTATCGTTATCAAAATAATAATAATATACCGATGCGTATCTTTTGATGTTGACAGCTCAAGTGAAATTTGGCCTAAAGATGTAAACAGGTTTCAACTTTCAAGTATGTACAACGATTGGACTATAGGGGTAAAAACGTCGTCTGCTTTAACATACTGTCAGAGTTTAAAACTAAAGAAGTAATGTTGTCTACTATCCCTATTTAAACATACCATTAAAACGTTTGGCGTAAACAAAATATGAGGGTTAATTAAGAAAATCAAATCGTTAACTGTCGTGACGAACCTCAGTGCGGTTCCGTAAAAATGGCGGACAAGCGGGAACATTCTAATGTGTCGTCTGCAAGGGTAGGAAAAATCGTTTGTAGCGTCCTTATCGTCACGCTCAAGAAAGCGACTCATTTTCTACTTCGTCCAATATGGCGGATTATATACAATTACAAATATTACACATATCGATCATCACAATCTTGAAGACAAAAGTTTCACATTCAGTAAAGAAATCAGCATAGCACTCACTTGTATTTCAGGAAAAGTTAATGTATCTCAGACGCACATTTGATTTGAAAAAGCAAGCATTAAATGATGTACTGTAAACGTTCCTCTAAAATCAATTCTAGCTAATAGATTCGCTCTTTATTATACAAAACTAAATTAACGTTATTTAATAACAACATCGACAACACATCGACAACAAGGATGTAAAATTATTCGATTGTAGAAATAGCAAAAATGAAATAAGCAACCTGTTAACAAAAACATCACAAGCACTTTCACTTCCTCAAACAACACAAAAATAGTTTGAAAATTATTATCATAATAGTTATTCGTAAATAATTATAAAAACAACAACATAAGCAACATCAGTTATGGTAATAATAATAACTTACGATAAACCACCTGGATTGAAAACAAAATCAGTCCGATTACAAATATTGCGGCCATTCTATCCATTCTTTCAACAATAACATTTAAGATCATTCTGTTCTATGTAACACTTTAAATA